ATAATGTGCCTTCTGTTGGCTGCTCCCACAGTCGTAATCGCTACTTATGAGGAGTCACTGTGCTCCACAGAACTGATTTTTCGACTTTCTTTGTTTTATTATTGTTTACTTCAGGTAAAAACCTCAAACCGCACTGGGAGACTGCTGCTACTGAGTTGAAAGGTGTCAGGTTGGTGCCTGTGCTCCACAGAACTGATTTTTCTACGGACTTTGTTTTATTATTGTTTACTTCAGGTAAAAACCTCAAACCGCACTGGGAGACTGCTGCTACTGAGTTGAAAGGTGTCATGAAGGTTGGTGCCGTGGACGCCACTGTGCACAATCAACTGTCTCAGAAATACGGGGTCAGTTTCGCTATCCTAATGCATTAATGGTCACGGCTTGAGCGCTATGACAAATTTTCTCCATATTTCACCGTCGTTCCAAGTTAATTTTAGTCCTCATAGTTCACTAGCTTTTTTTATCATTCTTCAAGTCAAACAACTTGTCTGATGTTTCCAACCAAGCCATCCGTCACCCTAGTTCCGCCCAATGGTCTTTTCTGGGGGGGGGGGGGGTGACTTTTTTAAGAGGATTGTACTCGGAGTCGTTGTAAAACGTCGATTTGAACACCTTGAGGAACTGCTCCAACTCTCTGTGCTGATATCTTGTTTGGAACACGCATTCCAGTGGTAAAATCATTCAGATTTGTTCCTCGTGCATTTGAGGTGTGATGCCTTTACATTTTTGAGCACCTGTAATACGGCTTCAGGGCGTACAGTCTTGTGGACATTGTTGGTAGTTCCTGATTGAAGTCCCTCTCATTATGGAAGGAAACGTATGGCCAGGTGATGCTGGTTAGATTATCCAAATAGAAGCCGGTTGCCTGCCCGAAGGTAGATCTGCAGTCATTACGAGTCTTTGTCAGTTGGTAGCCGATGAAATCTTTTCATTCTTACTTTTGCTGTCGTTAATGAGGTGCATTGCCCATTCCAGTACTTTCGGGTTCAAGGTGTTGGCACTGTTCAACACCGGCGGTTTTTAATGGACAACAAAGTAAGGCAAGTCGCGTGTAGTGACTTACTGCCATGGTATTCATCTTCGTTTGATGATAGCGCACTTATCTTCCTGTTAGAAACGGTGAGCGAATGTAGCCGTTTCGGTCAGAGCTTAGCGGTTACTCTGATGTTGTCAGCCGGCAACTAGGCAGGGGTTCATCAGATCACGTCAAGTTTTAACAAGTTTCCCTGGCCCATGTGTCAACTTTCAGTGGATCGCAAACCGCGGTACCAGTTATGTCAATGATGACTGACGTGGCCTTGTTTTTATTTCGCATCCCCATTTTCGACCCTATTGTGATTACTACACACTGTCGTAACATGCTCTCATAGGAAAGCAGCTCGAACCTGTTCTGCTTTTCCCCATGTGCAAATACAGTTAACTTGCTAACTCACACGTCGATGGAGTTGCATTATCCGTGTCAGCGCCGGAGCGCATTTGTAGCTTTCTGCCGCAATCTTTATTGGACCGCCGTCCAATACTTAATTTTTCTAGATCCGTGGATTCCCAACGATCAAGTTCTTCCCTGCTGGCTCAAAAAAGAATACAGACCCTGTGGACTACGATGGTGGTCGGACGTCTGATGACATAGTGCGATGGGCCATGGATAAGGCAGAGGCATCGATGCCCGATCCCGAATTGACCGAGATCACTTCATCTGCAGTGTTCTCGGACGCCTGCGAAAAACACCAAATCTGTGTCATCAGCGTCCTACCAAGCCTATACGACTGTCAGTCCGATTGTCGTAATCAGCACTTGAACACGATCAAACAACAGGCAGCAGAGTACAAGAAACAGAAGTGGGGGTGAGTCACGGTCCCAACACAAATGCTTCTGGTCTCTTGCTTACTAGTTGCCTTCGGTAGAGATGTATCACTGATTCCAGATTCTTTATCGCATTTTGGATAAGTAATGAAGAGCCACTCGCTTTTGTACGATATATAAATTACGACTCTACAAAGGGCTGTATTTAATCCATCTTGGGGCGTTGTGGTAAGTGCGTTTGGACATTTTGCTGCGAGCAAAAGTCCTTGAGACCGCGCGAAATCGTCCATCATTATCACGTTTGCGCATCATTTTTAGCCACCAGCCGTGCCTGCGAACAGCTATGACGTGCTACCATTGACTCGAGTGTTCACAGACCGAAACCGAAATAAGGAAACCAGTGACCCACCTAATGGGAGTAGATTAACCAAACCGCTTTAATTTCCTACGCAAAATGATCTCTTCCCTATTTCCTTCTCATTCTGCCCTCCTCATTAGGTGGGTCTGGACAGAAGCACTAAAGCAACCGGAGTTGGAAAAAATGTTTGATATTGGTGGGGCGGGATACCCGGTAAGTATGTTTTCACTGTCTCCTTTCCTATAAACTCCGCTTTTCTGCACGACCTCTTTCGTCCATACGGAATGCATCATGTCGTTCCGTAACACGCGGTAGCTGAAAAATATGACCTGATTCTTTGAGTGGAAACACGTGCAACACGCGAATTCTAAAGTGACAAAGCAGAAATTGCTTTCGGAGCACCCATCGAGTACCAGGATCTCCATAACGACACGAAACTCCGTGACGTTGTTGTTACATGCTGGTATTTTACACCCGTCACACTGCTTTATTCATACATATTAATGCAGCTTAGTTTTATCTAGGGCAGCAACTACAAAAGTTGTACTGCAAGCATCTCCGTCGCGCAATCCGCCAGCACCATCATCTGCGGTAGCTCGACAATGTGCTACGCGTACCTAAACATCATTCAGTGAAACAGGATGGGCAACTTGGGACTTGGAACGACGGGATGAAAGAGATTACGGATAGTCTGATTGTTGTTGGTGTGGTCCACTTTTCAGGAAAAGGTCCCCATGACCTCCTTCTTGACTGGAAACAATACAAGAAGTGACTGTTGATCGATGTCAGTGACGTTTTTGCTATCGATTTCTTTCCAGGTGGTCTGACTGAGCACATGGAAGTGAAGGCACCTCAGAATGCGGGTGATAGACCAGTACCACGGTCTTTCCTCACCCACCACTTTATCATACTTTATGGCATTGAGTATGATTAAACGAACTTTGTGATTATACGGCCGTAGAGCGTCAATGTCAGCACTGATTTGCTGTCTCTGATGACGATAATATTTAGAAAAGTAGGTCCTTCGGCTTTGCTCTTCGCACAGTACGTTTTCATCACCCGATCCTCTCTGCTAAATGTCTCAACAGTCGGGTTAAGGTATATGATTCAGTGCACCATCTCAAATACTCAGGGACCCTCGTGTTGTCATCCTCTCTGGGTATTTTTTTAAAACGAAGACTTAGAATTCGACCATCGGTACCTGTGTATGATCGACGCGTTTGTTGGTAATACATATCCTACGATAGTTGATCTAGTTATAATTCATCGATCACGGTGGTGAGGTCGTACTACGTCTATCACTTAGGTCCTAAGCAGTGCCGATCTTCAAAACACACTTTTGATATGCTGGGTTGGAACATGTATGTAGTCAGTTATAAGTTCGCCTATAAAGACAAAAAAGATAATCGTTCGGATGTAACACCCTTTCGGTGCCTAGCTGCCATGCCACGTGAAGGAAGCACGAGGGTTGGGCGTTGTCAGGTTGCCCAAGCCTGGACAAGGGAAGTCAAGAGGCAGGGCTGGGGTTGGAACCACGACCCAGGGGTCAGTAAATTCGCGCTCTAACCACAGCCCCAAGGTCGCCCATAGCACACCCCCATTGCCATATTCGCTCCGATGGCCCATCAGCACCAACAATGGTCTCGAAAACTGTCGCCTTCAACTGGAACCTTCCGTATCAGTTCTGTTTTCGCTGTATGGAGTCGTGACAACTAGAACCGTCGCAATTTATGGCCGAATAACCGAACGGTGGTGGGAGGTACCCACGTTTACGGTCTTAAATATAGAGGCTTGTTTAGTGCTGCAATGGCCTTACGCCCTAGCAGTGATTGGAAAGAAACAAGAACGCAAAAAAACTCTGTCTCCCTAGGATCGAAAACGGCGAACAAAGGGCCCGCGAACATCGTCCTGTACGAACCTGGCCCAACATTATACTAGCGCCACCGACAAGTAAACCGTAGCTAGGCGGTCCGGCTGAGGAATGAAAGCTGAGACCCTGGTATATGGGATATATGCAGGCACAGTATCCAGTTGAACAGCAGCCGCTTTCATTTCGCGTTGCCTTGCCATGCTCCGTACCCCTAGAATTCGTCTTCAGCAGGAGGCGCGGATTGGTTAGATACCAACACCAAATGCTTCACTCCCGTTTAACCTTGTCAATACAATTTAAATAGGCCTTATAATGGGAAGAGAAACTAAATGCGACAGGGTGAGGATCCAGGATTAGCCTACAACACACCTCCGAGGTGTCTAAATCTCCGACAATCTGGACAGAAACTGGTAGCATCAGCGCCACTGACATCAGTTAGCTTCTTTAGCATCCAGTGCCTCCGGCCAGGCAGAAAGAGGAGCATGTGGACCCTGCTTGACAATACCAACTTCTGTTCTAAAAGTAACTTGGCCCACTTACCCGTTTCCCTCGCCTTCTTGACTATCTACTCACTGTTTCGTCCAGCCATCATCGGGGCTTTTTGCGGCTTCTAATCTTGTTCTGTGGATGGAGCCCTAGTAGTCATAATATTTTCACATTCAGTTGACACTCCCTCATCTTCCACGCCGCCATATTATTTACCGTTTTCACAAAGCTCCGTAGGGTGTTCCTCACAGACGTTACATATTTAATTGAGTATGAACACAAGTCGCAATATTATTTCTAGTTCCACAGGATCTATTGAGGTGTGTTCTCAGTACCATAGGTATCCAAAGGGACAGGGTGTATTGACATCATATCAAATTTTTATCTGGTGTAAAATTGATTTGCAATGTGGTTTACGAAAGTAGTGGTGAAGTAGTTTCACTCGGATAACACATGGTCTATATCCTACAACTCTTTCATTTCCAGGCTATGGTTGCTGTTCACAGCAAGAAGCTGAAACGTGCCACTTTGCGTGGATCGTTTAGCACGGAGGGCATTCACGATTTCCTGCGTTCCCTGCTCCATGGTGATCCACAATTGCAACTGTTTCCCGTGCGTGAATTACCAAAGATCTTGACTGTGGATCCTTGGGATGGAAACGATGCTCCTGTGAGTCTTTCTTATTGAAACGTATGCATCGCCACACCATTTTTTGGTCATGCATGCAATTTGATCCATCAGTCTTGTAGTCCTCAACAACTATCATGTCTATTTTGATGTTATGTGTTCCTCAAACTCCATCGGTCTCACGATCCGATGCATCTCACAAAAGATTGTTGCGCATCATTCAGAGTCGCTCGGGCCGGGAGCCAGAAGGTCGGACGAGAGTCAGGTAGACACAAACCAGCATGTCTACGTGACCCCATCTTGTGGCGTCATTTGCCGGGTTCCAATGAACCTATCGCAAGTAGTATAATGGTTAGTCTTACGCACGACTGAATCAATGGTTCTCTGTGTGCATAAATGATTAACTCAGTCAACCCGACTGAGTTGAGCAGGCAGAGACAAGTAACACTCTAATCAAACGGCTGTGATTTGCTCTGCCGAGTCGAATCGATCATTTCGCTGTAATCACCTTTCGGTGCATAGCCACTATGCGGTCCAAAGGAAGCATGAAGGCTACCAGGTTACCCGATCCTAGACAAGAGCGGTCGAGATGCCGGGATTGTGTTCGAATCACAGACCTTTCGGTCGATGGTTCTGTGTATGCATAGATTGAGCACTCAGAGACAAATAACACTAATCAAACGGCTGTGATTTGCTCTGCTTAATCGACTCGATCATTTCGCTGCATGAGGGCTACCAGGTCACCCGATCCTAGACAAGAGCAGTCTAGGTGTTGGGATTGGGTTCGAACCACAGACCTTTCGGTCACAAAATTCGAGCAGTAACTACTTGGACATCCGTATTCCGACCTTACCGTGCCATATTCACTTCTTCGTCTTGCTTGTACTCACCTATCAGTTTACATTGGTACCTACATATCGAAACTTGCTGACAAATGCCGTCCGTCGTATCTTCGGACGAGTTGGTATTTCCAATCTATTGACCACTTGATATTAATGGAGTTGCAAGTTCTTACTAGAGACCTTGTTATGTATTTATCAGACACAGGTGTAAACCTAGTCATATGTCAGCTGAGAAATAATATCAACCAGGTATCATTATCCTCACTACATATTTGCCAAGATTGTTGTCTTCCTAGAAATCACCCAGAAATTTCCGAATCATTCCAGAGAAATATGGGTTCAAAATTTGTACTGTTCGCTGTTCTTCAATGCCGAACTACACTCACGTTTGATCATTTATCTTATTGGTTCTGTGTTTCTTGTGTTGGTCAGTATTTGTTTGTTCGAAGGCACCGATCATCTCAAATTGTGGTACTGCTGATCGCGTGGACCCAGTTTGAGTTCGTTTGCATAAAAAATGTATGCGGATCGGCTTGACGGTTCTGTATCGCCTGTCAACGGCAGTTTACAGCAGTGTGATCCACAATGTTTCATGAATCAGAAATGTATCCTCTAAGCGCAGAGGGTATAAGAAAGTTGTCATTGTTTGACCGTCGGTGTCTCCGAGGCCTTAGTCGGGTCTGTTGAGAACATTGGATTAGCAATGCTGAGGTGTGCCAGTTGGTCTTAGGAAGAAGGAACTCTCCGTGGATAGGCGAATCACTAAGGCGTCGTAGGCTACGCTGGTTAAGACATGTACTCGGCATGTCGGAATATAGTCTGCTTCACAGATCTCTTTTCGTCCAGTCTTATGTTGAGTGGAAGCGATCGAGAGGTGGACAGTGTATGACCTGGAAACGGAGTACGAAAACCCTAACCAGTAAACCTAATCGGGTCGGAAACTGCCTCCTTTCTGGATGGACATCCCGGAATTCAACTCACCAATGGTTAGTGACACTGACAGAAATGGCCAAATCGCACAGCCAGTGGTGCACGTGCATCAGAGTCATCGGCGTCAATGTTATTCATTGTCTCCAAAGTTTAGGTCTATCTCCCGCTGTAGCAGCTGAAACCAATGCACGTATGGTACACGGTTATAGCTGATAAATTGATTTGATGGATGGAACATTTGGTAACTGCACAAAGACCACAGACACTTCCGTCAACCCTTCCCTCTGAATGTGACTCACGCTATGTATGCGTGGATATTTGAGCTCTCCTGCGGTTGACCTTTTTTGGGGAGATCGTACGCCGGGTTGTGACGGCAAGAACTGCAATCATAGACTGTTCTAAGGAGAGATGTTTTTTGGGACAGGTTGCTTCAGTATATCTTCTGGCCACTTCAGTTACGCCTTCCCTACTTACGTGTCTTGTTGAACAGTGCTCACCACATATCGTGGATTTTCGATGTCCCTTGCGGTATGGCATCAAATTTGTATTTTGAAACTCCACTCGTGGCTGCACAATATCGGTTCCGATATGCATTTCCCTTTTTTTCTCAGCCAATCGAAGAAGACGAAATTGACTGGGAGGAAATGGGAATCAAGCGCGATTTGTAGTGTCACTGAGCTTACCGACAGGACGTCCGTTTTATCTCTGGATGATGATTTGTTATCCGCTTTCTCCTAACCGATTGAAGGATTGGTCCTTTTCATGTTTTTTGTTTTTCACTGCATACGTTTCTCTGCTGCAAACCTGGTGACGGCTGATTTTTTGCCGTCACTAGCATGGATGCGTCTTTATATATTGTTCTTTCTATGTTTGCTTCTGAGCTCGTGTCGGGGATCCGTTTTGCAGTCAGATTTCTAAGAGCAGCTCCACCGAAGGCAATTGGCCAGTTTTAAGAATTAGTTAAGTGATTTGTCGATAGGAGCTGACTAACAAGGACCTCATCTACACCGCCAGCATCAGCCGATCCGCCTGTCTACGACTTCCTGTTCATACACCTGTATAATAATATGTCAGTCCTTTCTCACATGGAACTAGTAAGTTTCCACGAACTTGCGCCTTGTAGCACCTGGTTTCAAAAAGTATAAATCTCTTAACTAAAAGATGAAAATAATAACGTCACTGGACCTCTACTAGATGCCGAAAGATCAACATCATCCAGGCATCTCGGTTCTACAACTCGAAGGTGTCAATCTGAAAGAATCTTCACCTACTGTAACTCAGGTTCCAACAGTGAGTGCATGCTTATGTTGCACAACACGATTGTTCACAACTTCAGAGCATTCCACCTAGTCCAGAAGATGTTTCCGGAAACAGGTTGTTGTTCTGATTGTGGACTTTGGCTAAGCGGTGTTGGATTGTCGATGGTGTTTACAGTAAGCAAAACCAATCCGTGCAGAAAGATCGAGGAGTTTCATCCTTATTGTGAATGATCAGCAGTGCTCGTCTGACGAAAATCCAGGGAGTTTCGAGCCCGCGACCTCCCTTTGATAGTGTGACTTTAGTTCCGAGTGATCGCTTATTTGAAAACGGTGACTGCCTGATAAGATGATTTTACAATAAGAGTATTTCCGTTTTTTCTCAGTACTGGATCCCCTACAAGAGTGCGTGGTACTTGGGCATCGTTGTGCCTGGCAATCGAATTGTCTCCCACGTTATCAGACCCAAACTCGGGTAACAGGAACACACGGGATTTCGCGTATTCAATGAATTTTTTATTGCTTTTGGGCATCACCGTTGTTTATTACCTTTTGTTTTCGGTCCTCAAATACCACCCAGGTCTCGGCGCAGAGAGCAAACGTTACTGATTCTATCGGAATGAACTGTCTGGTTGCCAAAAGTGCCCATAAAACACCTCCAATAAAAACAAGGCGTGTGGGTTTATATACTCACCTGAAAATTCAGTTGGCGTTAGACTGACATCCGAACGGAACTTTCGTCTGTGGTGTTAATCAACCGAATATGAGAGTCCGAGAGGTTACGTCAACTCGAAACGAAATCTATAACAGGGTGTGGAATATTTTTTCGTTGAACGTCTTTGTCAAAGTTACTGATTTTCAATGTTTATAGTCTGTTATATTACCAGTGGATTTCTGGATCACCTAGTGTGCCTCTACCATTGAGGATTGGAGGAATGTTGGCAAAAAGAGCAATCCGATTTGCCTAACCTCGACGCAAACGGACCCCCTCCCACATTTCAAGTTTTGGGAACACCTATGCAGAAATATGGAAGAATACGAACCTCTTGAAGGACAGTTCGTTGGGCTGGTAAACTCGTTTTGTTGCCGTTTGGCATCACTTCCGCATGTCTCTCTTGTTAACTGCGACTACAGAATACACTCGGTGGTCTTTGACATCGATTGTTCAGGCTGTCATTGGAGCCCGTACAAAAGTCGTGCGTCAGTCGACTCGTTGTCAGCCTGCAAGTGCAAGTGACAGCGGCGTTCAGCCCCTTCTACATGGCGTATACTGTTGAAAGAATTAGGGACCGTACTGCGATATTCACCGGGGGAATAGATGTGGTGAGACATCTCTTGCTTGACAGGTGGTTTTTAGCAAAATGCAGTCCTGTAGTGAAGGGACGCAAATGGAATGGAGAACTGTCCGATCTGACCCGTTTGGAGTGGGATAGTTATGAACCATCAGTCCACGATTAGTTTATAGCCATTAGTTACCGCGGCGGATAAGGAATTACGAACGCAGCACATGGCAAGACACACAGGTTCTCAGGACTTTCTCCCTTTACCCACAGTTCAGTGTACTATCCAACCAAAATCACGTTGCAGAACGTGTACACTGCTTTTGGCTCTGTCAGACGTGACTGTCAGAAGATCGTGTTTAGGACGATTTCAATTCATTCATTCAATCGTGAAGACAGAGTAGCACAACTATGTGAATCAAGAATGTGTCGTTCGAAATCCAACGAATTTCTGCCTCAAACCCACCAGACATCTTTTGACCTATCGGTTCTGCAACGCGATTGAATCAACTTGGATCTGCGTCCAATCATCACGCACATCAGTGCCGACAGAAATTCAGCATATTTGTAAGGCCTAAAGTAGGACTCATGTTGTACTTCACCGCATTAAAACGTGTACGTTTGAAATGTTTGTACTTCATCCAGTTTCTCACTAATTACAGAGCCTAAAATCATATGAACCTCTTTCTCTCATATTTACTGAACTTAAAAGTTCATGGCGTCTATGATCGCATTCCAAGCATTCCTCGATGAACAGAGTACTATCGTTGTTTCTTTCTACGTGAATTTATTTCGATGCGTGTGTGGGACCAGCCAAAATATCCGTCGGGTAAACATTATCCGAAAATTTTCATGAGAAAACTATCAGAAAGACGCGCTACACACAAAGTTCATCACCCGTAATGCAGCTATCAAATACTAAAAAATAACGTGGATATGAGTACAGTGCTCCTCAGATTTTTTCACGTTCAAGCATGATTTGCCCTCAGGTTGTATCACTTTCCTTAACGACAATACGCTACAAAAAAGGATGCCGGTGGCAGCAAATTCCAGCCCGTCATTGTCAGAAATTGTCACTCAATATGGTCAGGCAGAAGTCCACACAAATGGTACTTCATATGGATAGGATTGAGCGTTGAGTCACAGTGATCGAATGATTATCACAACAAGGCAAACCTAATTCATGGTCGCTGTCGTCAACTAACTAGCGAGAAGGAACCATGTCCTGATGCTTGAAGTCGCAAAGAAAGCTGACAGACGCAAACTGAGCAGGCTTTCTTAAATACGGCATATTCAGTAGACAGCAGTCAACACCTGAAGTTCGTGGAAATTACAAAAGCAATCAAACCTTCGAAAATGTCACTTATTAGAAGAACCAGTCCCGACAGTAAGTGGATTACACAACGGACAAGGGAATAATCGTTTTCGTTGGTAGAGAGTTAATCGGTTGTCCTTCACTTGTCTTTGACAGACGAGTTCTTTTTCTAAAGTCACTTTTGGCCCGCCTAGAACTTTCCATGTGAACACCATAGGCAGCTTGTCCTTGGCTGCACATGACAGGCCTGTACACGTCAATGTTCAATAAATCAGCTGAATCGCACGTTCATTGGTTTGCTGGTTTTGCTAAGAGCATCGGGCCAACAGGCGGCTATCCAGACTCGGGTTAAAGGTATTTAGAAGGCAGGAAAACTATGGCCCATAACATTATTGATTATTTATGTCCGACAGTTGCATATCCAAGCCTTCCGCCCGATTGATCGTTGCAGTCAGTTGGTGGAAGCTAATATGTTGACTTTTGGCTTACGAGTGGGAGTTAAATGGGCTTGATTTTTGACCTCAGAATCGCTTGACTCCCTCCGCAATTCGTTCCTCGTCTGTGATTGGCAATTACCAGTGACATACTATCATTTGAATACTACGTGGTATGTCTATCAGCCACATTTGGCCGTGTAATGTGGGTGTGGATGACCGGATATCAACGTTAAGTCATCACATTTCTACAAAGTTAAACGTCGGAGTGAAAAGTAGGGATTTCGGTGAGTCGGCGAGTGTCGGATTAGTTGCTGTGCTGGTAGCTTATTGCTGTTTGATAATACTGTCTCTCTCAGGGCTCCGGGCAGTATGATTCATCGCAAGGACACATTAAGTTGGGGGAGTCACATCGGATTGTTAAGCATGACAGCGCAGCATCCAACACCGTTCTTGAAAAAAAAGAGTGGCCGGACACTAGTGGTCTTACTTATAACAGACGTGTTGTAGGCAACATTTAACTTCCTGTGTACATTTCTGTTTGCATGGATTGAACGTGTTCAAGGTCGTGGATTGACTACCACCATATACCGCCAAACTATTCAATACAACGATTTCTAACGCCCGCTCAGAACATGGAATACGATTGTCCGAACCCGTATTGTTCATCCGGGCGAAAAATGCGTCGAGTTTGTTGCTACCATGGTTCCGAAATGAATCCACACATCCACTGGATCCGAATGGTTCAAATGACCGGGCAAATTATTTTACTCGTCAGGCACCACGTTGGCAGGCTGACAGACACGTATTACTTCTGTGCCAGTAACGCTGTGAACTACGGGAAATGGGATCTAGCGAGCTTCGCAATTAGGATATAGCGATGTACGAGTAGATCCTAACAAATGAGACAGCTTGATTTTGAATAAGAAATATGCTTTTTTAAATTCCTTTGAATGTATATCCCATCGACTTCAGGTTACCCTTCGAGGTCCTAGTTCATTCATTCTCATTAATTTTTCTGGATTCACTGTGACATTTAGTGCAGTAGAGGTGTTTCGTCAGAGAATTTCGTCATCCAGAAGGTTCTGCGTTTGGATTCACCTTGAAAAGAACAAACCCGTAAGGACCCACATGCTCTTCTCTGGTTTGTCCGCTATCCTATTGTACGCCTTGGACCACAACTTGAACATGAATAATGCCAAGTTCATTATATTTATTTTAATGCGTTTGGTAGGGGATGATATTACGCACTGGGCACGTGCTGGATATGATATTATCCGCTCTTTCAACCCGTGTATCAACGAAATAGCTATCGTGAGGAACGGTGTTCGTAACTTGGCGCTGGAAGTTTGACTTAACCCCTCATTGTTGGTCGTTCTTATTTAGCACTGTTATAAAGCCCACCAGCACAAACTCCGATAACGTGATGCTTCATGTAACCGGTCCCCTTTTTTAAAAAAAATACAAGCAATACAATGAATTTGGTGGTGGAAGGACTTGTACCGATCCTATTCCGTGGTGCCGAAAAAGGAGATTTTGATGTTTCCACATTTCTTGTAAAAGTCTATCAGAACAGGCGATCTA